GGGTCCAGATGGCATCAGCTCAAGAGTGGTCAGGTCCTGTGCAGACCAACTGTGTGGGGTGATGGAGCACCTCTTCAACCTGAGCCTGAGGCTGGGAAGAGTCCCACAGCTCTTGAAAACCTCCTGTGTTGTACCAGTGCCAAAGACATTCCCTATTCCGAGCAGGGTAAACTGTTCCCTCGATGTTTTTCTTATAAGGGTCTTCTGAATCGCTCTTTGTCTGGTCCCTCACCCAGGACCAATTTGCCATGGGAGACCCTACCAGGAGGCAAAAGCCCCCAGACAACATAGCCCCTGGAATCCCTGGGACACACAAACCTTCCACCATGGTATGGTAGCGATTCACGAAGACGGCCCTGGTGGTTGCATTTGTTTGATTTCTATTTATTGAGAAGTAGAGATCCATGTTTTCTCCTATGAATTTTATGAAGTCAGAATCTTGTAACCAAATTTTAGGGTGTAAGCGCCAGTTAAAATAGTGTTTGTTCACTTGTACAACATTATAAAATAGCGAGACTGGGGCATGATCTGACAGAACAATACTACCGTGAATACTGTCAGTTACACTAGGTAACAACGATGAGGAGATAATAATCTATTTGAGAGTGGGTTTTAAATGTTGAAGAGTAGCATGAGCATTCCGTTCTGGTAGGACTTTGAGAGATTCAAATCTTCTATATATTGAAGTAGTTTCTTTCTTGTTTGAGAATGTGAGGTATCTGTCCCTGACGAGCGATCAGTCTTTGGGCCCAAGGTACAATTTAAGTCACCTGCCAATATGATCTTATCAGGAAGGGTGGCCATTAACAAAAACACATTCTCAAAGAATAATGGGTTGTCATCATTGGGGCCGTAGACATTAAACAAATTTATATTTCCTTTCAAGAAGGTACCTTGGACCACCAAAAATCTACCCGCACTGTCATAAATAGTGTTATTTACCTGAAAGGGCACTGAGTTGTGAATTAACACTATAACCCCTCTAGAATGAGATGGGAAACAGGACGCTAGTACTTTGCATGGCCATCTCCTTTGTACTTTCACCAAGTTGTTTCTGAGTCGATGGGTCTCCTGGATAAAAACGATTGAGGACTTCAGATGCTAAAGCCTGGTAATAACCTGCTTTAGCTTAGTCACTTTTACCATCCCCCTTACATTCCAAGAAGTAAATTTGAACTTCTTATTTGGAAGCACCTCATGTTTTGAGGAGTATTGAAAAAACAAACACAAAGCTGAAAATCTGCCATAAACAAATCTCCTTAGCTATCACCCCGAACCAGACAGCCCTCCCTCCTCTGCACTCACCGATCCAGTGTAAATAAGGGAGCAGTTAGACCAAACCAAGCAATCTTAAAAGAACAAAATACAACTAACAAGTTCTTCATGTCTCCCAGCGATAGTAAATATTTTCACGAAAATGTATATCTGAAATGTTCATTGGAGTCTCTTCTGCAGCTTATAACACAAGTGAAGAACCGATTACTTCTTGGGACAAAAGTTTATTTGTGAGGAGAGCTACCTGTTTAACAAGTGCATCAGACTTGTTTTTCTCTGAGTTAACTGTGTCTTCTACGTTGCTAATTCGCACTTCTGCTTCATCCATGCGTGCCAAGAAGTCCTGCCTGCACGTCCCTGTTAACGTCCTGTATGGCTTCCAGCACCACATCAATTTTCGTGGAAAAGTCATTTCTGATCTCGTGGAGAATCTGAATGACATCCATGTTGTGTGCCGTTCCAGTATTTTCGCCTACGGGTAGCTCAGGTCTAGCATCATCTGCTGAGTTAGCTTGACTACTAGCGTACGATACATCGTATTCCCCATTTGGAGAAGGGTTAGTTTTAATTTTAGTGCCTTCTTCGCTGGCATATTTTTGCATGATATTATACTAAATGGCCACAGGTGGTAAATTTCACTGTTCGTGGAGTAAAAGTATAATTCTAAGGCTTTTATCCAGGGAGCTCACCAAAAGCCATATGTTTAGCCACGCCCCCGACATTTCACTGTTTTACTCTTTGGTTTGGTGTTGTTCTGTACTCTATTCTTTTTTACTCATAACTAAAAGAAGTTTAGTTATTGTTGTTTTTTTGAATTTGCAAAATCTTCTTGTTGATTGATCGAAGATGACTCACAGTTTTGTCCATTTGAAATTATTTCAAAAACACAACAAAGGTACATTTTAGTTTTGTCTAGTGCTTTTTATCAGACTAACAGCTACCTTAAACATAGCTTTTGTTTGTATGTATGTATAGTACAAAAAGAAGACAATCAAATACACTTCCCATAATGTAAATAGTGCCTGGTGTGTTCTGTCCTCAGGAAGGCTGCAGAAAGCCAAAACAAGTCTGTGGCCATAATGGCGAAACCTACAACACGGTGTGTGGCGCCTATTCTGACCGTGTCACTGTGGACTATGAGGCCCCCTGCAGAGCTGTGGGAGCCGTCTCTGACGTGGCCCCTGACTCAGCCTGCAGTTTGGTTTCATGTCCAAGTCTGTCCACTCCAGGCTGCCACCCTGTCACTCCACCAGGTGAGTGGAGTAGCACCATACATGAAAAGGTTAACTGGGGTCAGCCAGCAGATAAAATTACACCGTGTACATGACATTTATGTAGCGTCATGGGCAGTACGGTGGTACAGTAGTGAGGACTGGTTCCTGGCAGGGCCTTTCTGTGTGGAGAGTGCATGTTCACCCTGTGCCTGCATGATGACTGCAGCTCCCTCAGGCCAGGACATGCATTTTAGGTTAACTGGTGATTCTAAGTTGACTGTGGATGTGAAGTAAAGTGGTTAAAAATGTCTGAAACACTTTTAACTGTCAGTACAAGTAGGATAGTGTCACATAAAGACGTTGCATTTTATTATAATATGTTCTCTGAACTTTATCCAGGAGCCTGTTGTCCCATATGTGCCAGCATCCTGCAGATCCTCTGGAGCAAAGAGCGAATGAACACGTTCTCAAAGGTATGGACGGTTCACAGCTGTTTGTTTGTTTAGGTAACAAATCCACTGTCCAGTATGATATGTTTATGAATGATTTATGCTGATGACAAAGGGAGTTTCAACGTACTATTTTCTTTAATCAGTGTTGTTAGGTTTGACTTATAGGTAGGGTATGAAAGCTAGAGCAGGTAAAATCAATATTGACCAGTTTTCATGGTGATGTGTCGTAACAACCAGTACAATCCACACATTCAAAGAAATCAAACATACATGTCCATAAGTTATGTGTAAGAATGAGAAATGACACATGTAAAATGAAGAAAGGGAGGTGCAAAAAGGCGTGGAAAGTTATGACACCAGCTGAAATCTGTCAGTAAATAGAAAGCAGTCCTGCAAACTAATAGAAGCTGGTTCAGTCCCCACTGATGGCCTATAAAACGCTGTCTCATTACCGAGATGTACACCAGAAACATTTCATAATAGATAAAACCGTGAGCTCTCAAGATATTCACATCCTTATTTTTCGAAAACATACTGAAAGCACTGTTTAGAGAAGAACTACTGAAGGTTCCAGTGGGCACTGTTGGGACCACAATCCCAAAGCATCCACTATAAACTGGCTACAACCAGGTGCTGCCCTTAAGATTTCAGGTAGAGGAGTAACAAGAATGATCAGAAGGGTTGTACAAGAACCAAGGACGACTTGTGGAGGGCTACAGAAGGACCTGGAATCAGCAGGTACAACTGTTTCAAAGAAAACAATAAGCAATTCACTCAGCCGCCTGTATGCACACTCACCATGCAACACGCCGTTGTTTAAGTAAAAGTATGTTGAAGTCCGTTTAAAGTTTGATGAAATTTGCCTGTGAAGTACTGGGAGACTATGGTCTGGTCAGATGAGACCAAGATTGAACTCTTTGGATGCCACGTCATGTTTGGAGGGAAAGGGTACTGCATATGGCCCCAGAAACACCATACCCAAACTGAAATTTGGTGCTGGGAACATCATAGTGTCGGGCTGTTTTTTCTCTATACACCGCTGGCATTCTTCATGTAATTGAATGAAGGATGAATGGGAAAATGTACCAACACATTCTTGATAAAAATCTGCTGCCAAGATGATGAAGATGAAAAGAGGGTCGTTGCTGCAACAAGACAATGATCCCAAACAAACAGCCAAAGGAAGGAAGCTAAAGCTGCTGGAAGGGCCCAGTCACCTGACCTGAATCTGTGGAAAGTGCTAAAGCTAAGAGTTCATACAAGGGGCCCACAAAAGCTTCAGGGTCTGAAGACTGACGGCCAAAATCAGGAGGACAATAAATGTTCCCCATGTGGATCAAATAAGCTAGTTCAGTACTTTGTGCTGGTGTCATTTCTCATTAATACGCCACTTAATTGGATTTCTCCGTGTTTGTGGATTGGATGGGTTGTTAAATACACCTGGTGAGAATTCAATAGATTTACTTATAAAATTTGTGATGTGTTATTCCCACACAGGGATGCTGTGTGAGACTTTCTCTGAGCCGCTCTAGCACTGTCCTCTATGGGCAAGGGAGATGGAGGAGGCTGTGCTTATGACATTCATGGGAGAACTGTAAATCCTGTCTTGATGAGACTGACCTTGGATGAACGAGAAGGATGGTGGCTACATTTTGATGTATATATTATACCAGCGGTCCCCAACCCCCGGGCCTCGGACCGGTACCGGTCCGTGAGTCGTTTGGTACCGGGCCGCTAGCGTTGAGGCTCAGGTGTGAAATGTCTGGTTTTCAGGGTTTTTATCGGTTTTCAGCGTTATTTTGTTATTGTTTTTATCATTAACTCGGTTTTCCTGGGTCTTTTCACGTGTGTTATAAATAAATTATTTTTTTTTTGGTACCGGTACCGGTTTTATTTTGTTGTATTTATCCGCGACACCTTAAAGGCCGGTCCATGAAAATATTGTCGGGCATAAACCGGTCCATGGCGCAAAAAAGGTTGGAGACCGCTGAATTATACCATCAAACCCATAAATATTTGGACAGAGACAGTTTATGTTTTTTTTATTTTGGTTGTGTACATTACCACAATGAATTTGAAATGAAGCAACTCAGGTGCAGTTGAAGAGCTTTCAGCTTTAAGTCAGTGGGACTGCCTAAAACTGTGAGGACCCAAAGCATTCTTCTAATGCAGTCTCTTCATTTTAGGAGCTCAGAGTTGGACAGATTGGTGCAGTGTGCAGCACTGTAGCCTCACCTGAGTTCAGTTCCACCATCAGCCTTTCTGTGTGGAGACTGCATGTTCTCACTGTGTTGGCGTGGGTTCTCCGGGTACTCTGGCTTCCTTCCACAGTCCAAAGAAGTGCAGTTAGTGGGGTTAGGTTAACTGGTAAATCTAAAGTACCCATAGGTACGAATGTGAGTGCGAATGAAAGACCAGACAAAGGGCGATTTAGAAGAACACCATGGGAACCGTTCACCCTGCCTGAGATAGGGTTACCAGGCCTCGCCCTAGAGCCAGGCCGGCAGAGGGTGCCCGAGGGCGAGCATCTGCTGACTGTAGAAGTAATATTCATCCAGGAAGGTCTTTTCATTGGCCTTCAGGTCAACGGTGATCCAGGGTTTCTTACTGGGAAAACAGACATACAGTCCTAGTTGGGAGGATGTATCCTCACAGAAATGTGTATGGTCTGTGCTGCTGTTGATGTCTTCCCCATATGGATCATCCCAGTCTGTCGCATCCAAGCAGTGCTGCAGGGTCTGGCTGGCATCCTGACTCCACCTCCTCACAGACTTGGTGGAAACAGGAAGTCTTTGAACACATCAACATGCATACATCCTGTGCGTTCTCAGAGGTTTATTCATTTTACAGACTGCTGGGAGGTTGTCAGAGTCAATCATCACAAACGTCTCAGGGTGTTTACACTGTAGGTCAGCTACAGTCGTGTGGAAGAGGTCACACAGAGGTCATCAGCTGATGCTGGTACATAAACACCAGTCAATAAGCTGAGGGTGTACTGAGTGATCAGCACTAGGTTACTCTATAAAATTGTCTTTCTTTTCCCAAGCACATCAAAATAGTTTACAACATAACAGGTTACACATCACACCACAAACAACGTCTCTATAAAAGCATAATTGGGAATCCTAACATCCAGAAAATATAGATCGATATGTAGAAAAAATCAAACCCAGACACTCAGAGGAAGCCATGCCTGCCTGGATTACTTCATGTCAGAGGAAGAGCACAGCCCAAATGTGAGTGAGGGAGACAGTGATGTGGAGCTGCTGATGGATGTCCTGATCATAAATCAGTAAATGTTGTGGTGTGATGAGGCTGTAGTAACCTGTGCTTTTCCCAAGCACAGGTTACTACACTGGAACGGTCACCACACAGTCTCTTGTGTTATAAAGTGCTTCACAAACCTGAACATTACGGCTAACAGCTGTAGATTTTCCTGTTTCAGTGAAGCTAGCCCAACAACAAAGAGCCACTTAGTGTTTAACACAGTGACAGTGGACAGGTTACCAACATAGGACTCATAGTTGCAGCTGGGGGCGGCACAAACGTGACCCCCTCAGTAGCTGGCTAACATAAACTGATGTACTGACCCAACCAACCAATCTGGTGGCATCACGCTCTGTACTGACACAACATGGTGCTGAACATGTTCTGTAACCTTTTATTTTAAGCACTTTGGTTTTTAAATCCAGGCAGACAGACAGAGTGAAGTCTTTTTTTCATGTAAATGAACTACTGCTGTCAGCGTTAATCTCGTTACAATGACGTTAACGCCATAACCGCATTAACGTAGCAAATCTCCATTAGTGTCAACGTGTTAGCGCGGTGACGCGTTAGCGCTGTGCAGCCCCACAAAGGGGAGATTTGCTGCGTTAATGTGGTTATGGCGTTAACGTCATTTTAACTAGATTAACACTGACAGCGCTACTAGAAATGCATCGATTTCTGTAGTAAGCTCAATGCTGTCATTATATTTGTGTCAGTGTTTTCCAGTAAAGACAGATACTGTGGTGCTGTGCTGGGAGCATTTGTTGCCCTCATTAAAGTGTCACTGACCTGTTGTATGAAAGTTGGACAGCAACATGAATGTAATGCTGTGTGTCGCTGCGTGCAGCTGAACAAGAAGCAGCCGGTGACGGTCCACGATGTCCTTCAGATCCTGCGGCCTCACATCTCAGTGCCGCAGTGCGATGTTTTCGGCTACCTGAGTATTGACCACCTGCTGGTGGTCATCATCGCCCCAATGGACCAGCAGCCAACACCTCTGCAGGTAACAAACACCATCGTGCACACACACAGATATAGTCTGTTATATCTGTTGTTCTGCACACGCTTATGTGTTCTTTACTTTGATGAGAATGTGTGAACATTGTGTTCACAGTGTTTGCAGTGAAAGGCTACACTTTAGCTGTGTGACGTTCCCCTGAATGAATTAATAGCATGCATTTGTGTGTGTTGCTGTCACATGATCTTTTAATCACGTGTTCTGTTCGGCAGTCGTGACGAGCGCAGTTCAGGTCTCAATGCTTTGCTGTGCCAAACACATTGTTTCCCCAAGAAGAGCAGCTTTGGCGCTCTGTAGGCTTTATTGGATTTATTTATGTTATATTATTATCTGTGTGGATGCTGCAGTCGACGGGGTGAAGGCTGAGGGGAACGTTGGAGATGAACCAAACACGTCAGGTCTCCAACTTTATTTCGTTACAGGACCAGTTGATCAAATCCATAATAATCCATCCTTTAGGTTTTAGAGAACAAGACTGAGGAAATCTTTGAGGGTTAGAGTTAGACGAAACTAGACAAAGACATAGAAGCAGCAGCAGGGAAGATAAGGGAGGGAGAGGGTGAAAGATGGGCCCTCCTCCTCCGAGAGCCAGAGAGTCATGAAGCATGTAGTTAGGCCTGGATAGTTGAGGTTCAGTGGGATTAGGCCTCCCCATGCAGTATTTCTACCTAACTCACCTTTTTCACTCACTATGTGTTTATGTGTGTTTCGTGACTGAGTAAAGATGGTGCCAGTGTGTGCGGCAGGCCGTCCTCGTCTCTGTTGTCGATCTCTTTTCCTTGATATTTGTTTATTATTTGTTATCTTTCTGGCACTATGCCCCCCAGATGGTTATGCATTAATCACCTATGACCGGGATACTTTGTTAAATCTTCGTTTCCCCCCCTATGCTGGGTTGGATCAAGGCTGGAATTTGGGAGATGCTACCTTTCCACGTATCATCTCTTCTACTGGTTCATACGGTTCCCCTCTCTGCTCCCCGCCTCAGAAGCGCTATAGGAAGTGGGGCAAACGGAGTGGGTTTCAGGTTCGCTTAAAGGCTTACCTTAAAGCATCAGCTGCAGCTAATTCCCTCACCACCGCGGGGATTATACGACTTCCATCTGCTCGGGATCCATCATCCTTCAGGCTGCTCAACCATCGCTGGATCTGTCCGGTCGGTAAACAAGCCTGTCCGGTTTCTCCGGTAGTCTCTCTGCCTGTTCGTGTTCGGATTGGGTCCCCCAGTGATGGTGAACGGCTCAGGCATTTAAGCCGGCTAAGACGTGCTTCCAGCAGAGATAAGATGCCGATCTCTCGGATGGCTTTATTAAACGCAAGATCGCTGGTCAATAAAACCTTCATCTTAAATGACCTCTTCCTGTCCTCTCGGCTTGATGCTCAGTTATTGACTGAAACTTGGATTCATCCTGGTGAGTCCTCTTCTTTTTCAGAGCTACTACCCCCGGACTGTGTAGTCTTCAGTTCACCGAGGCCTTCGGGAAGAGGTGGAGGCGTGGCCTCTGTTTTTAAAAACAAACTTAAAGTTCGGCAACTGCCCTCTCCTACCTATTCTAGTTTTGAGGTTCAACTTGTGGAGCTTGCCGGACCCCCAACGATTCTATGTGCTGTGATTTATCGACCACCTAAATATAATAGGTATTTTATTTGTGAATTTGCTGACTTCTTAGGTTCATTTTTATTAAGTTATGACCAAGCTCTTATCACTGGAGATTTTAACATACATATTTGTTGTGCTGATGACCCCCTAGCCAAGGATTTTCTTGCCCTAATTGACTCTTTTAACCTTACACAGTGGGTCAGGGAACCAACTCATCTTAAAGGTCATACCTTGGATTTGGTCCTCCCATATGCTTTGGATATTTGTACTATGGACATTGATAATGCTGGTATTTCTGACCATTTTTTGGTTATGTTTGATGTTGAGCTATGTGCAATTGATTTAAATTCTAAAGGCTGTCATCGTCCTGTACGTATCATTAACTCTGAGACTGTGGCTAACTGCATTACGGCCTTTCTAAACTTTGCCTTTTTTGATCCAGACTTCACTGATACAAACTGTTACACACTTCCATTGGTTGATGATTTTGCCAACGCTATGCTATCCAACTGTTGTTCCATCTTATATACTGTGGCCCCTATAAAGATGAAACGTCCCAGAACTTCTCATCAACCATGGCTAAATGACACTCTACGAGCCTTACGTCGTATTGAGACTAATAGCCACAACGCCCGAATGTTATTCAAAATTTTTAATTCAGTGATAAATCCCTGTCCGGACTCTTCGAGCTCGGCCTCTCAGGCTGTCTGTGAGCAATTTCTTAATCCCGCTTGTACAAGTGGAAATACACTAAAAATTACCTCCAAGTGTTCAATACTGAGTATTGTAAAACAACTGATTGACATCAAAATTTAAACAGGAAGCAGGATAAAGTCTGCTTACAATTATCTCTCATAAAGTTATTTTTAGCTGCTTTAACCATTTACAGCTTTTCACATGTTAATGACTTAGTTAATGATCTAACTAGCATAGCAACAGCGTTTCAGGGACATGCAACAACTGTACCCACACTCCGCACATCACGTGTCTGATTAGCCACATTTAGCTTACCGCCGTCGAGTGGATGCTCAGCATTTACGTGGAGCCACAGCTCAGTAAACCTTCTGGTTTCGCTCTGCCCTTGACAACAACAAGTGCAAATACATAGTTTGTGAAAAAGATCAGTTTAGATGGTATTTTTTTTAACTCGTTAGAGGTTAATTTCTCCAGCTTACCGATATCAAAAGTTTTAGTCCGTCTGCTCTGTTCGGCTGTAGAAGCAAGAGACTGAAAACTTGGGAGCTGGTACTAAGGAGGGACAAGAGCTGCCTAGAGCTTCACCGATTGGCTGACATGCGAGGAGTGGAGTAAAACAATAGGCTCTCATCAGAGCTCATCAACCCTCTGAGAAAACTTAACCCTTGTTTGACCAGAGCATATCATATATAATCTGCGTCCCTTCTATGTTTAAATAAATATTTTGACCTCATTTCACTTTCATTAACAGGGACAATAAGAACAGAACAATGAACATTAAATGTTTTAATTTTTCTTCTCTTTTTGTTTGAGATGATTTTAGGAACTGGGTTACACTAACTCTCTCCCTGATTCTATGCGTAACCTGGGTGTCTGTTTGGATAGCTCCTTTAAGCTCGATAAGCAAGTATCATCTGTAGTTAAATCTGTTTTTTTTTTCAACTGCGCCAGATTTCTAAAGCTAAGCATTATATACCACACAGGGACCTGGAGAAACTTATCCATGCTTTTGTGACCTCCAGGTTAGATTATTGTAATTCTCTCTACTGTGGTCTCCAAGCCTTCTCTCTTCGAAGGCTGCAACTTGTTCAGAATGCTGCGGCTCGCCTTCTTACTGGCACTAGAAAATTTGACCCTATTACTCCGGCTCTTGTTGATCTACACTGGTTACCAATCAAATATCGCATTGAGTTTAAAATCTTGCTACTCACTTTTAAAATCCTGAATAACATTGCGCCCAGCTACCTCACTGACCTCCTCAGTTTGTACACTCCTTGTCGTGCATTAAGATCATCAGGTCAATTACTCCCGGCCCAACCTAAGTTTAGACTGAAGACCAGAGGCTATCGTGCCTTTGCTTCAGCTGCACCCAAGCTTTGGAACAGCCTCCCTGCTTCTATTCGAGCCTTGGACTCTATCTAGTCCTTTAAATCAAGATTAAAAGCATATTTGACTTGGCTTTCCCGAGCAGTTAATACCCTTTTAAATCTTTTAATTTTTAAACTTTTAAATCTTTTATTAGAGTTTATTAAATGTATTATTTTTATTAATTTTACTGCTGTTTTTGCCTTCGTAGCATATTTTGTATTTATCTAACTCTCCTGGTCTGTTAGTGCCTCTATCCTGTCTGTGCTTGTGCCTGATTTGTACCCTGTTTTTGACTTATGTTGACTCTCCATATTACTGTGAAGCACTTTGGTGTGCCTTCGGGTTTTTAAATGTGCTATATAAATAAAATCGTATTGTATTATTAACGTGCAGCTTTCTTACATAGTGGGTCTTCCTCCAGCAGCCACAGCAGTCAGCTTTCCCTAGGATCTGCTGCTACCAAGCCCTTGCTCACAGCGTGTTGTTTTTTGGGCCTTTTCCATACAGTATAAAGCACCTTGTGGTGACTGTTGTTGTGTATAAATAATGTTTTGTTTTGCAGATTGAAGCCTGCAGTAAAGAGGCTGAGAAGATTGACTCCCTCATCAACTATGCCAGCCCCACTCTGGTGTCCCACGTCCCTCTGTCTGCCTTCCTCACCTCTGAAATCAAGACATCTTCCATCCACTCCTCAGGGAGCACGCCATGGTCACCTCTGACACCCGCCCTGTGTTTCCTTCTGGGTCTCCTTGTTACACCGGCTCCAGTGCTCTAAGTGCCAGCCTCTGTGACTCCCAGTGCCAAAGTCAGGATGGTGGGCGTGTTCTGGCAGCAATGAACAGACGATCGTGATGACAATCATTCCTATTGACTGACCTGCGTTTCAAACAATCAGGGTGGTTCAAAGCTTTTGTATCAACTGTGTTTAGTGAATAGTTACTCACTGGATTTCCCAGCCAGTGTGTGTGTGTGTGTGTGCGTGTGTGCGCGCGCGCGTGTGTGTGTGTGATAGACACTGTTTATCCATCCGTCCCAGGAGCACCAGGAGGGGGCGCTGATGTGTATGTTTGATTCAAGACTGCACGAAGTATCCTTGTTAAGCAGGACATCACACACACACACATCATTTTTGGTGTCACTACATCCAGGTATCTGTGTACATTGCAAACATACATTGGAACATATATAATGAAGAGCACACGTTTAAAGCCTGTGGTGCATGACAGTGTGCCGCATGTGGACCTGGTGATTGAACCTCTAACCTCAGCAGTATTATTGCTCAAACTGAGCCCAACTAATCCAAACACAGTTTGAAGGACTGGCTAAACAAAGTCTCCAAAGTCAACTTTCCCAGGATATTTAGTCTGTGCCATCGGCCCGTCTTCTGTGAAAAAAGCTCCCAGTTTGGACTGGGGAGACAGACACCCAGGTAGTGGTCTATTTCACGTAGCAGTGACCTTGGTCAGTTTCACCTCATCACATAAAGCTTTCGTCCAAACAAACCTGGTAACACT